AATTTATGTAAAAAGATTCCTGACACAGTGATTCGGAACAGAGATGAATTTTAAGCTACCTTTATTGATTTTGCAGCAGTTGCAATGTATGGCAAATACTCATGAAAACAAGTATGAATATTTCAAGGACGTTTGTAAAAATTAGTAAGTCTTAAATGCATGGTGACTAAGACTCTTTATCATTTATTGAGAAAAGTCATTGATTCTGTATTAAAATCAGAACCAATAATTCCAACCAGAAGGAAATATAATTAATCTCCCATACGAATTCCGATGAGATCATGGACAAAGGGGCTTATCTGTTCTATGCTCAGATACAATAAATAATCTCCCTCTTTGCAAAACCGAATAAATGTAGAAAGGAAATCGAAATTGCCTATCTTCTCTCATTAAAGATTCAAATTTGAATATTCATATGTCATCAGAAAAAACATCCATAGTTATTGCCTGACGCCACGTGCGTCAGGCAGTATAAGGATTAATATTTCAGGGATCCGAAACTAAGCGATCATTCTAAATGAACTAAATTTTATGCAAGCTGATTTACATCGGAAATTTGCCACTGCATTTAAACAAATACAGTTTGCAGAAGAAAGAATCATATAACTGATGCAAAATAATGATGTGTTTAATTCCTTCAGTTTTTTTTTTTTATTGCATGCACATGTTTATTCTTTGCGATTCTTTGTACAGACATGTCCGTGTAACATTTCTTCTGCGTTTCTAAACTATACTGGATCAGTCCATTTGCCTTCTACGAAAGGGGTGACACAATCATTTCGCGCCAAATGTCACGTAAATTATCTTCGCGCCTTTTTCTTGGGTTGTTCTATTGAATGGGTGTGATAACTTCTAAGGAAATAAATAAAGTGTATTCTTTTAACATGATTCTTAGGCTCCAGATTTTTTATTGACAGTAAATTTTATCTCATTTTTTTAAGAGAACACATTGAATATGGACAGGCAACACTAAAGCAATGGATCTGTTGATTATTCTTACTATTTATCCCATAAGTGGACTAGTCTTATCATAAACAAACTCCCTCCACCTAGTAAATGGGACATCCCTTCTTGATTCAGTCTGTTTTCCACCTAGCCTTTCTTTCAATATTACATTTATTAATAATGTACGTTACAAGGTTAGATTTTTAAAAAAGCTTAGAAAGTCAGCGAGTAGCATATTACTTCGTGCTTTGTGATGAACAAGGGTTTCCTTTTAATACCGTGACAAGAGTGTAGGTCAGTAGTAGAGGAATGGTCTTCACTCCCGTAAAGTTTTAAGGAAAGAATCGGCAAAATGAAGAAGACATGATCTGTGCTGGTTTTCATTTCATAAAAAGCACGTTATTATGAATATGATAAAGGTCCTGAAATCGATTGAAAAGAAAAACTAAACAATTTCAAAACTGTAAATAAAGATGTATTTTAAACTCATAATACATGTACATGTATATGATAAGACCATCATCGCGTGAGTTTTGTCGGGGGGGGGGGGTTATTAGTATCTTGTTTTGCGCTAGCTATAAAGTGTACAGGTCATTTATTTTAATTTCTAGAGCAGTTTTGAAGCATTTTTGTCTCAAACACTTCAAGTCAACTTTCCCAGTTAAAACTGTTCAGAAGCGCGCCCTCTAGTAAGGGAGTACATGTAATATGATTTTCTTTAAAACGAGTCATCTAACTATTTTTCCCAGAATTATCAGTGGCGGATCCAGGAATTTCATAACGGACGGGCGCAGTAAAAGGCAGAGGGTCTGGGGGCTGTATTGAAACCCCAGTGGGTCCATGACAAAGCCGTGATGGGGCGAAGACCCCGGAAGCTGACGAATTCAAAGAAATAAGAGGTGTTTTTTCCTTGATTTTAGGAAAATGAACATATAAGTTCTACATACAAAAAATTCAAACGGGGGTTGGGGGGGGGGGGCACGCTCGGCGTGCCGGTGCTGAATCCACCTTTGATTATAATCTACGCTAGCGCACTTGCATTTTCATCCCAACGTTACTAGTCAGCCCGTGGGCTAACTAATAAATGACCAAATAGTGGCATATCTTAGATATTCGTTAATCTGTGGTATTTGGTTATGACATTTGAGAAAGTCAATTGTACATCTTATATAATGAAGTATCGCAACTATGTCGCTCCTTGATGACGGAAACGTTTAGCACCTCTCTTGCACATACGTTCCATAGCTATTGATTGATTAGTCAGGCAAGCTTTTTGAAAAGCTATTACTTGTATCCATTAAACCTCGAATTTTCCTGTGTAGTGGTTTAGATTTTTATTTCATAGCCATCGTTTCGTAAATAATATTTTACAGGTATTTGCTGATATTTCAGTCAGATTATTCTATTTATCATTTGTTTTCAGTTGTTACTTACGTAAAACCTCTTTATTATTTGTCGTTTATAAGTTAGGACATGAGTTGACATTCCACATGTTTTACTTTTTAGACAGGAAGTGTCATCCATGTTGGCAGTTTTTCCGTAGTACTTTCGATAGCTGTGTTCTGATTGGTTAACTTAGCTTTAGGATCTTTGATAGTCATTGGTTTTTATTTTGGACCTTGCTAGGGTATGTAAACCCGTGTTCGAGCAGTTTACTTCACTTGGTTAGGGATAAGCCTCATGGCTCATTATCTCTGATTTTATGCCAACCTCAAGGTACATGGCATTATAGGTTTCATTTAGCACGTGCTGTGCGAGCACTTTATGATAGGTTAGGATGTAGGTTTTATAGAATAAACTTATATGATAGGTTAGGATGTAGGTTATTTAAAGTAAATTAAGTTTCCCTTTCCAAGTCCTGCCTGGTTTAGGGATATGTAGATAACAGGTTTATTTTCTAGAACCACTATTTATTATTTACTTTTGGGTGTTGTTTATTTTCTGGGTCAGTTATTTTTAGAACCTAGAATTAGCATTGATATTTTCAGTTCAACTCTAGAGTGTTGATAGTAGTCATATTGGGTGATGTAGCTCATTCCTTTTACACTTTTCTAATTCATTCATTTTATAGGATTTTTGACAACTTTCATAAGTATGGAAGCCCAGTAGGGACATAAATTATTTTTCATAGTTTTTCCACATTCCTCCCATTTTCTATTACATTTTTCAATTACTTATTAATTTATTGAGATTATTGTGAATCACCTACCAGATTAAATTACATTTTTGATAAAGCCCTATTAATCCTGTGCAATTTTCAAAGACTTTTCTGTTTGTTAAATTTTGATTATTATTTATTATTTGTTATCATTTACAACGGTTAATTCTCACTTTATTAAATTGATAAAACTTACAACTGTGTTTTCATTTAGCGTTGATCATAGTTCAGAAATCCCCTTACCTGGGTTGATCATTGATAACTGGAGATAGTTTACTCCTTTAAGCCAAGTTGGCTGGTAACTTTTGTAATTTATACACTAAAGAGTTCTACTTCCGGTTACACCTGTATAGAATATCTGGAAGTGTGTCCGCTTACCACTCTGACCCGAAAGGAAAATGGCAGAGTTTATACTTTTGTGGTATTACACGTACTATACTTTGTTCGTTCAGGAATACCAAAACCATACATCTATCATTGATTATTTTTGTGCACAGAAAAGTTTTACTTTAATTTAGCTCTGACACTTCATAAATCACGAATTTAAAACCAATTCATCTACTTTAAGGAGGTTGGATCCTGACATTAAAAGTAATGAGAATTTTTTATCAAGTATATTTTTAGAATTTATACACATAGCTTAATTAAAAATCAAAACAAAAAACTGGGGTCAATGCGCTTCTTTTGGCGCTACAGAGCATATAGTTTGACCTTTTTGCACTGTAAAAACGTCTTACACATAAATCAACTTTTTAAGTTTTTCCTCCGATATTTTTTATTCAAATAAGTTATGGGAACAAACACAGTTTTATTTCATCTTGAATAGACCCATTAAAATTTTTGACAACGAAAATTTTTTTTAAATTACTCCGCACATTCAATTATTTGACCTTTTTGCACTCAAAAAATTTCATTTTGCTAGCATTACAAATTTAACAAGCAAAAAACTCATTTAAAAGTGATGACATTTTACTGAATTTAAGAAGAATGGTTAAGAGTATCTTGTATATTAAGAAAAGAAAGTTAAAAGTGGGGGTCTGTGATGTTAATTTTTAGATATTACTAAAAAAGTGCTAATTTTGAGCTTAAATTAGGGCTATTTTTTTTTCTTGATTCTCACAATATATTTGATTTACTTATCAAATATGATGATTGAATTCATGACAGTTTATTAAATATATAATTTAGGACCAGTATAAAACAGTTCACTGCACAAAATAACTCTGTGTGCAGACTGCATGTAAAAATAGGAATCCAAACTTAACATACTTTAAATACTTCAAAAGAGAAAAAATGATCATTTTCTTCTAAAAAACCTTCCGCCACAAAATATAGTTCCTCACTTAATGCTTTTGGTATGGAATTTAATCATGGAGTTTTAACTGAATATAGTTTATTTGGCATTGTAGAATCCAAATTTATTGTAAGAATTAAAGCATTACTCAGATTTTTTTAAATATAGGTTAAAATAAAAATCTGCTCAAAAGCTCAGGAGCGAACCTCGTTAAAGAGAAAACTTATTCCATATCGATTTTAAAAACGAAAAAAAAAATCAGCTGCAACCCGTTTTTTCCAATTTTTATTTTATGTACAAAAGTTATCTGGAAAATATGGAACACACAATTTAAGGATACGCGTGAGAAATCGATGATCGTTCTTGCTCACCAGTGCCCTTTGAAATGAAGTGAAGGAATATGTAATTAATAATTTCTGTGACCAGGGACACATAATGTATTGAAAAGCGAAACATAAGATGTTAGCTGTACGAACTTAAATATCAGCATGCTTCAGTGTGTACGCTTTCTTTTCTATTTAAATGTTTTCTGTAAAATCTCAAATGCTCAGGTCTCACAAATGTATGTGGAAAAAGTGGGCAATCTGAACAAGGTATCTAACAACGTTCCTCTCGAAGAGCACAGCTCGCCCTCTCTGTGCCACTGTACTGCTCTGTGTAGCAGTATTTGCGGATGTACTTGTTTGGGATTTGACGGTCAGACTAAAATATGTCGCCTTCTGAAGTCATGTGACGCAGTGGACATGACAGTTACTGAAGATTATTGGAGATACCACGTTCTTACGCCACAAGGTAAGCACTCTATTAAAATAAAAATCTGATACAAATTAAAAATAAAACCCTGAACCTGATTTTAGTAAATAATTACTATTTCAATGAAACAGGACCTCACGGACTTAATACTGAATTAACAAAAAATATTTTTTTTTTCTATATACTTAAAACGTATTGCATAATCATAAACAACAAGTCTTGAAAGAGACATAGTAACGCAAAAATAGACAATCTAGGGGGAAAATAAGAATTTTTGAATTTCCCAAGCAGTTTCTTCTATTATTAAGTTTCACACAATAAAAGACTTCGAAACCTAAAAAAATAACTTTAATGAAGAAAAATAATTTCTATCCGTAAATATTGCTTAATATTCCTTCTTACTTATTGTACTGGTGGGCAGACAAGAGTAATAAGTTACTTTTGTCTCAATTCCCAAGAGGTAGAATGTCGGTAGACGGAACATTTTAGTGTTATTCGCTTAAAGTCACGTGACGCTGATATGGACTTTGACAACGAAGCAAAAAATACAAACTTTGTTTTTCCGGCACTTACATTTTGTACTCTTTGCTTACTTTATAGTGTAGTTGAGTATGTAAAGAATTCTCTTTACTCATATTTTTTTTCCAATATATAATACAAGTATCATAAAGATTTAATGTTTTCTGACTTACTATGTATCTTTAAGCAAATGAATAAACATTGAACTCTTAGACTATTACATTGTAGTTGATATTTACATTGCTTGTATGTGAAAACTACATTCCTTCAATACCCCCTCAATGCACGTAACACCTTATTGCAAATAATTAACCACATAAGTGTACCCGAAGCACCTAAGAGAGAAACTTCAATTATTGTACAGTGGAGCCTCATTTATCCGGACACTTTGGTTCCCAGTCAATTTGTTCGGATATGTGAAGCGTCCGGATACCTGAATTGCCTTGATTTTAGTTATACATGTATATGGCCTTTCATACCATTGGCAATAGTAAATTTGTTTTATTGTTTAAATACTTTTATATACATTAATACTAAGTACTTGTTTAAATAAAATAAAAAACTACATTGTCATTGGATGAAACGTTGTTTATTTGAAAACATTAATTATTTCGACTTCCCAGTGTCTAATGAATCAACTTCTCCTAGCAAAGTGTCTGTAGAGCTGGTAGGGGAAAAACTGTCGGTAGAGTCTTATTTAATATGAACGCCCATCAATGCCTTATCATTAAATGTGAAATTAACTGCACATGTATACGTACGCTAATCAAAATCATCCCAAGCAAGATCGTTTTAATTAACGATTGTGTAATAATAAAAGTGATTTTATGAATGTCATCAAATCACAGAATCAGTTTTTTCGCACAAAAAAATGTGCATAAAAAAAAAACTCCGATGTCATGTTTATAAGTAGCAATACAAAAAACCATGTTCCGACTATATTCTAACAGTAAAAGAAATAAATTTGCCGACTACGAACAATTATAGCTTATAAAAATATTTTCCTTAATTAATACGTATCAAATACATGTTTGAGAAGCGAGAGTCTCGTGTGTACCTATCGACCTATTAAAAAATACCGTCCGGATAAATGAACCAAAATATAACGTAAACATTCATTTTATGGTGAAAAAAAGAACGTCCGGATACGGATTAACGAGACAACATAACGTTAAAAAATTCCGTTCACATGAAAAATCGTCCGGAAACCGAAGCGTCCGGATATCTGGAGGTCCACTGTATTATATATTATCAAATGGTTTTTCATAATTGAATTGCAATATTTCAATAAATGATTTATTCTCACAGATCTACCTGGTGATTGTAAAACCCTTTACGATAGAGGATATAGAGCGTCGGGTGTGTACACTATATATCCCTGGGAGAGATACAGTCCTGTTTGTCGTTCTATCAAAGTCTTCTGTGACATGGAAACCAATGGAGGGGGATGGACTGTTAGTTAAAGATTATTTACAACTTGGTTCCTTTTCTTCGTTTTCTCTCTTTTAAATTCTTATTTATGATATTTCTACTTCAGATTTTATCTTTTAAAATAATTAAATAATATGGAAAAAACAAGATTAAAAAAAATACGTAAGGAAATAAAAATATGAGACAACACTTTAAAAAGTAATAGTGTTCTTTAATATTTTATAGGCAATACAATTTCGAAAAACAGGATCGGTTAACTTTACCCGGAATTGGGCTGATTACAAGGATGGGTTCGGAAATCCAGAAACAGATTATTGGATTGGTAAGGCAGCAACATTATTAAACGTGATTTATCCATTTTTTTTTAAAGGCAATTTTTTTTCAATGATTAATAAAAAAAATGTAGAGAAATGCTCAGATGTTGTACTTTTTACTTGTTTAAAATCCATTGTCCAAAGGGCAATGGATACATTTTACCAAACATGCTCATTTTCAAAAATCAACTCAATATTACCATCAATTGATTACAGGAAATGACGCAATTTACCAACTAACAAAAGATCGTCCATCACTGTATGTTTCGCTCACACGAAATAATGTAAATACAAAATACGAGATTTATAACCAGTTCTCTGTTTCGGATGAAAACGACAACTATAGACTCTTCCTTGCTGAACCAGCAACAGGGACACTAGGTACGGACACTCATAATTCTTTATATTTCATGAATTGATGAAAATTAAAAAAAAAAAAAACAAACCAAAAAAAAAAAAAACGAGAAAGCATAATGATCTGATTTGTATAAATGACTGTTGCTAACTCTCGGGTATAGATACGAACATTCTTTGTTTTCAATAGTTGTGGTGTTGATGAGTCTCTTTTCCATTAGTATTAGCAGTAATATCTTACGGAAATATTTATGCTTGCTCTTGGCGACATTTAGCAAATTGAACGAGTCGATGTGAATAAAGATGTTAGATAACAAGTGTGATTAAAGAATCACTGCTGAAAGCTTGATTTTCTTTTACGAATCTATATAAAAACTGTAATGGTATATGATACATACCTATCGATACAATGAATTTCAGAGTTTAAAAAAACAAACAATAATTGCAATCTTTTTTTTAACAGGTGACAATATGTTAAATACAGATCGTGTAATCGCCGGAATGGGATTCACTACTATAGACCGAGATAATGACAACAAAGGCGGCGGATATAACTGTGCTGTAGCCATGGCCGGGGGCTGGTGGTTCAATGCTTGTCATCGCGCCTTCCTTAATGGCCCCTGGGCCTCGGAGAATTGGCGGGAACCATGGTCACCGGGTCTTATGAATGGAATGGATATCATTGAAACTAAAATGATGATAAAACCTCGTTAAGTACACTTAGCTTTCTTTAGTCTTTTTAATTTAAATCTTGGTGAATTTACCAAAAATGTCTTTGAAAGAATGTAATTTGCATTAAGATTACAAGTATCTAATGATTTAAACACATTCTTTACATTAGTACTTACCTTAAATATGTACGATGTCTACAGTTTTTAAATGTTCATTTTAAGTATGTGTGGAAAAAGGTTTTTAGATGTATTTAAGGAAATACGTCTTTATTTCTGCTGCATTGCTGATACTTAAATTATTTTAATAGATTTTTTTTTAATCAATATTGAGCATTGACACGGATATTTCTTCAAGTTGTTACTTTTTTGCCAAGCACTTAACCCTTACTCAAATATTTGATATAGACCTTTCTTCTCAAATTAAGCGGATAACTAAGTAGTCTGGTCACCTGATAGTTGCTTTTTTAGGCATCATTACGATGTTGATCAGTTCATGGATAAATACACTAATAGTTATTTGCATTTAATTGACGGTTCTTGTTAAAGTTTGTTTGATCTACTAATCAATAAATATTGCAATATTTGTCTCAGATCTTTGTTTATTTAGACCTACACTATCATTGAACTCTTCTGATCATTTATGGCGTGAAGGAGGTCAGTATTAAATCGACAATTTTACATGAAGATCCAATACTGAAAACTTTCCTGTGCACTTTTTTTCATTTTCATAGTAACTTATCCCCTCGCGCAACTAGTTGCGGAGGGGATATAGCATCGCTACTATGCGTATGTGTGTGTGTTAGCGTGTCCGTTACAGCTAGTGGGCAAGATTTAAAGAAAACCTTTGCACTATCATTTCTCAGCCTTCGCATACTTATGTGGCATTGTAAAAGGACGAACCCTATTCATTTTCAAGTTAATCGGTGAAATAGTTCTTAAAATATGCGTTTTTACTGCCTTCGAACCCTGCAATTTTTATGTACGAGTTGACAATACTCACTTCCGATAAATGTAACAGGTTAAAATTCGGGTCGTTTCAATAGAGCCGCTTCTGTAAGTTCTACTTTGTATTTGCATATTGTCATATTATTGTGCGTATCTTGAGAAAGTTTGTATGAAATAAAAGTGTCATATCTGTCACTGGGTAACTGAAATAATTTGATGAACGTCGCGGTATCAACACCGAATTACCACACGTGTGTGTTTATGTTACATTAAAAGTTTAAATCTAAAGTTTAAACTCACTATAACTATCTAGGAAGGAGATAGTTATAGATAAGTTTAAACATTAGATTTAAACTTTTAATGTAACAGTTATAAATAAATGAATTTTTAATTCATGATTTTAAATTGAAATATAGCTTAAACATATAATTTTTGATTATTGAAAACGGAAATATAGTTTAAATTGTCAAAATGTGAAGTTACTAAATTTTGCAGTTTCTTGTCATGTTTAGTTTAATTGAAGAAAAATCTTTTGTTCTTTTGATAGTGACATGTCGTTACTCGTGATTATTTAGATTTTAGATTTCTAGGTAACAAAGTTAATTCTCACTTCCTTTGTATTATATTAGCATGTCTCTTAAGATCAAATAGTCATATCAAGCCAATGAGTAAATAAATGAATTCTTCTTTATTTCGGCATCTTTGGAAATAAATTCTTCATACACTTAACTTGACACTTCGAAATTCCTCATCACAGAAAATGTTTACTTTGTTTCGGCTTTTCTTAATCCGTTTTTGTTATTAAAAAGTGTCCGCGGACAGATAAGTAATTGAAGTAACACTTTCATTAGTTGAGCGATTAGTGTCAAACATAAAAGAAAGCACTGTAATGTTTACTCAGGTAAAAAAATTAATGAAATTTAGAGCATACGTTATATTAATGGAATTTAGAGCATACGTTATATTAATGAAATTTAGAGCATACGTTATATTAATGAAATTTTAAGCATACGTGATATGTTTCTGCTAGGAATAAGGGAAACTGCCCAATCACGTATGCTTGTTATGACCCCCCTCCCAAATATCAATCTTGACTTTTGTTAAAATTTAATTAGTGTTGCAATACATTTTAATTTCTTTACCTTATTTTAAGCTTTATTTATGGTACTGGGTACCCTTGATTACTAGGCCTAGATGTTTGTATCTTGTTTAACGTCCCTCTTGAGAATTTTTCTCTCGTATGGAGACATTGCCATTACCGGTGAAGTTCCTGGCGCGAGGGGATGCTCTTGTTCTCTTTTAAACTACATGTATATGAATCGTTTCATTGCGTTAAAAACATAGGCCTTTAATTTGCATAGATATGAATACGAGGTTATTCTTTTCCAAATGAAAATTTGATTACTGATGTTGAAATAGAATATTTTAATAGATTATATTAATTCAATTTGATTTGAAAATTAAAGAGGAATTTTATCTATGTATCAAATTTAGTTTAATACAGATATTTAAATAAAAGTTCTTTTTGAAGAATTGACAAAAATAGCAAGGACTGACAACTCCTGATCCTATAATTTGTGTTAAATAGTTTGAAAGTGTGATTTGAAATTTAATAATTACCTATGCTTACGGATTAAAGTTATTATTTAGGTAACTGACAAGAAAGAAATTCAAGTCCATGCTATTAGGTAACTGACAAGAAAGAAATTTAAGTCCATGCTATTAGGTAACTGACAAGAAATTTAAGTCCATGCTAATTTCCCAAAAACGAATTTTCCAAACGAATTTCATTTCAACTGCATTCTAAACTATGTTTATGTATAATCTGGACATACAAAGCCCGCACAACACAAGACAGTCTCAGAGACTCGTCACCAGAATGTCAAGGCTTGGTCTTATCTCTACACAAACCCTTGACAAAAGTTTCTATTTAAAAGTCGGGCTAGCTACCATTCCAATTGTTCCCGGTCTTTGACTGGAAGCTTTCAGAAAACAGACTTTATTGTAGGTAAATTTTGTATACAAATATGACATCTTTCAAATGGAAAGTGCCAATATTGTAGGATTTGTGACCAGTTACCTCAAATAGACTTTCGAAGATTATTTTTTGGAAGATCCTTCTTTTTAAAATCACAGATGATGTGCTGTGGCTTTGAGCACTTGAAAAACGACGGATTTAAAAGATAGATTCTCATTGGTTGGTTTATAATTAACCATTACGTCATGTGTACTTTTAAATAGCGAATTTTGTCAGGGCTTTGTAAAAACTTTGACACTGCGAAGAATTTCCAACATCTACTCATTTGAAAATAATCTCTAGTAGTGATATTGTAGGAGAATAAAGGAAATCTGATCTCTAGTAGTGATATTGTAGGAGAGTAAAGGAAATCTGATCTCTAGTAGTGATATTGTAGGTGAATGAAGGAAATCCGATATCTACTCCTTAAATTGGAGAAGATTTAAAAAAAATCAATGTTTTTTTACTCGTTCGTCATGACGAATAAAGCTGAGGAAGATTTGCATGTTTTAGATATTCCATTACGTCCTTTACAATATTTTATCTGAAATATTTTTGAGTTTCTTTGTTTTTTGCATGTGAAACTTTTCCAGTGAAGAAAATCTATATTTTGTCACTGGTCATCGTGGAAGTTGATATTCTGTTCTTTGTAGGATGAGATAATAAATCAGATTCGAAAAAAATCCTTCCCATTACCCTCTATGAAATGCTTGTCCCCTAACACACAATTTCATTACGTAAGTCGATAGATCTCTTTAAGCTGAATGCAGATTTAAAGTTAATATAATATAATACGTGCCACATGAAAAGAAAAACTTTTCTTAGAGAACCTTTTGAAATAGTTTATAAAATCCATAAAAAATTGACAATTTAACCATAACAAGAGCGATTCATTACAATTAATTATTCCATTAACCAAGAAAAGAAGCAAAGTATTACTTGTTAACGAGTTTAACACCTTTGAAAAAAAAACAACACATACATGTGAAGGAGTGGAGTGCATCGTCGTTTCCAATCCAACATGATGTTTAAAAAAATGAAACAAGATCAACTTAATACTTCCTAAAGAGATTCTTTAGTATTGATTCGTCTTTTTAATTTCTCTAACATAATAACGTATTCAGAGAATATATGAATTCATTGTTTTAAGATAATGCGCTCGGCTTTATTTTCGTACAAGTGAAATCAACTAGTATATTTGCAAATTATCGATTTTTATAGATTATATCTATTGGCTTGAATTAATAGTTAACATTGGTTTGTTTTTAACATACAATTGAATATTTTCTTATGTTTGTCAATCACGCCAATCTTTGTTTATAAAATAATTTATGAAAAGATTTAAAACAAGAGGCCTAAGGGTCTAAATGGTCACCTGAGTACAATACAACACTGCAAAGGATCAATAGAATAGTTCAACTATAAAATAAAACAAAATAATGTAATGGATGAAGATATATTGCTCCAGATCAGGGGATATAGGATGATCAGAGATCAGCAAAATAGACTTGTACGCAGTAGCAATTCATACAGGAGATTTATTCACTTGCCAGTGGTAATATGCTTCAATTGTCACAACTTGGAGACTAATCAAAGCTATAAATGGAACACCTTAAGAAAGCCCATTACACTCCAACGCATAGTGACCTCTCTTGGGATTTACATGTATATGAGATTTCATGTTCAAAAGATATTTTTGTCCCATTTTTCCGTCTGTCAAATTTATAAAGTGTTTGTCATGTCAATCTTCCGTTTGTTTGCTTATTGTTTAAAGTCCCTCTCGAGATTTTTTTCATTCATATAGAGACGCCACTACTTGCCGCGGTGGAGGACTGTAAATTTATACCTATACTCGGTACACAGGGCTATTGAGCAATGAGGAATCTATTCGTTCCAGCGCCTACTGCGACACGGGACCTCGATTTATACGGTCTCATCCGAAGGACCGATCTTCACGTCCCGCACTGGGAATCGATTCGCGACGTAAAAATCAACTCCTTACTCCGCCACTTTAGAGCAGACGCTGAAACCATTGCGCCACGCGGGCCACTCCTTCAATCGTCCGTGTCACTTTGCGTTTAGCTCAGTTTCAAGAAACAATTCGATATTTTCCATCGATGAAACTTCATCTGACGAAACATTTTAGTGAAAACTATTCTAGTGAATCAAAATGATT